GGGGAAACAGAGGTAGTGAGAAAGAACATAGAGGGGGGGGGGGATATACAGAGAGACATTTAATTGGTTTGAGTTTAAGTAAGATAACAGCATGCAGAATGAAATGTCTTTAAAGAACGTAAACAATACGAAAAGAGGCAGACGAAGAAACAAAGACATCAGACAACGAGTGGGCGTCGAATCGAGCATAAAATACACCGAGAGTCAACAACTGAGGCGTTTTAAACACGTTATGTGTATGGGCCCACATTTGCTTGAAAAAAAAACAACAACAGATCAAAACTGATAATTATTCACCAAAAATACGATGTTTCGTTGTAAGGCCTCAGTTATGCCACAAATACACACATTCTAAAGCAGTTTGTCAGTCAGAAAAACGTTTAATTTGTACCTAATGGTCCGTTATGGTAGCATACTTCCTGAGACGAAATGTCTAAAATGATTGCGGCCGCTTTTTGCACTGATTCACCGATTGCAAATGTCTGCGCATGTGTCCGAGGTATGAGCTTGGAATTTCCGGTACTTCCAGAAGTGGCGAAGATCATGAGGATGTCGTCCGCTTCCACTTCTGCTTCCAGCAGAGGTTCGTCGCTGTACGTCAGGTCTTGTAAAAAGGGCTGGCAGGTACTGTGGATTGTCCATATAAAATACTACTCTGAAGACATGATGTGGGTCAATGACATGATATTTACCACTAGAAAAAAACGTTTCTGAATCCGAAAAACTTTGGTTCCAAGTTCAACCTAAGCAGAGTTTGGATATTTTCCAGAGACTTATGAGAGCTCTCGGTTACGAGTTGCGACCTTTGTCAGATAGACAGACAGACAGACAGTCATCAAATACAGATGGGGCTTTTGTGTTATTCTGACAAGGTTTCCCACCAATATGATTTGATCCATTCACAGTCGTAACCTCACAACAAACTCCCCCCCCTCTCTCCCCCCCTCTCTCTCTCTCTCTCTCTCTCTCTCTCTCTCTCTCTGTGTTGTCGGAGGTTATATATATATATATATATATATATATATATATATATATATATATATATATATATATATATATATATATACATCTTTCTCTGCATGCAGTTTAGTCAAGTAGTATCTCTTTCTCTGCATGCAGTTTAGTCAAGTAGTGTGTATGCTATTGTGTACAGGTATGTATAAGAGATTTCAGTCTCAATTATGTTGCATTTTTTACGAGCAGGCAAACAGCAGATAACATGGCATTGAAGTTTATAGAAACCAGCTAAGGCAAAATAGCCATTTTGTTTGAAAACTTTATGTAACGGCTGAAGAAGAAGACAGCACTAACTAAGATATGGCAGTGTGTGAAGAAAGATTGCACAGGCAAGTTGACAACCAATTTGGAGACGAATGAAATCCTGCACGGCTCCACAGATCACAATCATGACACGGATAAGCATGTAAACGTAAAGCTGAGGACGACCCTTCAGAACAACCGAGAAAGATTTTGATCACAGAAGTTGGAAAGATAGAAACCGACCATGTATCACAACAGAGCATCAACAAAGCTAGAAAAGCAATGTGGCGGCAGCGCAGAAAAACCTCCCAGCATTGTCGAAAACCCGACAAGAGGCTCTAGTGGCTCTATCTGGAAAACAACCCAAGCGTTCAACAACAGTTATAGACACTGATGTGGAGCATGAACTTGCCTGGAGGTACAGTACAACATATGTGGGGTACATAAAAGATGTCCAGTTTTTATTTGAGATGACACTTTCAAAAGTTCTCCCAAACAGTTTTACCTAATATACACCATATTTGGCTATAAAGACAAGCACTACTTTCCTATTGCTTTTATCCTGCTGCCAGGCAAATCAAAGGCTGCGTACCAGAAGATGTGGTCTAGCTTCAAATCTTTGTATGAACAAGTCAACGGAGCCACATTAGACAACAAAACTATCCTTCTCGATTTGGAAAAACAAGCCCAAGACGCTGCAAGAGAAGTTCTAGAAGACGCAACACTGCGAGGCTGTTTGTTCCTTCTCAAGCAATCCTGGTGGAGAAAAATCCAACAACTGGGACTTGCTACAGAATTCAAAGACCGAGAATAAAAAATTGGCAGCTTTCTCAAATTGACCTATGGACTTCCATTCGTGGACTTCATGGATGTTTTTGAACGTTTTGCCTTCGACATTACCCTAGAGGCTCCTGCCGACGAAAAATCGACCCCTACCTTGATTACCTTCTCAAGACATACTTGCACAGCTCTTCATTATTTCCACCCTCAGTTTGGGCAAGCAGCGGCTTCAACATAGAGAGAACAACAACCGGCTGCAAAGCCTTTCACAAGCAGCTGAACAGTATGTTCTACTCTGCACTTTCCACTGTGTTCGAACCTGTCGACCGACTGCATGATGTCATTTCCGAGAGCGGGTTCAAGATGAGAGGGCTGGTAACACGGCGAGATGGGAGACAGCATCAGAAGGAAAGAATACAGCTTGGATAGAACAAACAAAGAAATAGTTTGATGATGGAACGATTGATCGGAAAATTTATCTCCAACGCATTTGCTACACTGGACTGCCTGCTACGTCTCTAATCGCCATTTAAATTATATGTATGTATAAGATTGTTACCAAGTTATACAGCCTTCATCAAAACATTTCTAATGCAGCCTCACCTTCAAATGAGTCAGTCCCAAGCCTGTAACGCAGAGGGGCATTGTTTCAATGTAGGGCATATTCGATTGCGAATATTGAATGTATAAATCATATCATATCAACCAGAAAAAAATTTCTAATCCGTTCAGGACAAATTCAACCGACACATGTGTTGATCTAATGTTTGCTAACATGCATGCAAAAACCCCCCAACAAAACCCAATCTATTTCTACAAAGTATAAGTGAGTTATTTATTACGTAAGACAGGTCTATAAAATCCAAAATGCCCCGTAGCCATGGAAACGACACTTTTTTCTCAGATTTGATTGCGGATTTAAGACTCCTTACTATGCTTGTTATAATATGTGTGAAATTTGGTAAAATTTTATAGAGTATTAAGCGAGATAGCCTTCAGGTGTAGCCCCCCCCCCCCCTT